TTATAGTTATTTTTGTCCAAGCTTTTAAACTTATCTCTGTCTCTTAAATACATGTTCTTTTTATATTCATATGACCTTGGCTAAAAGGAAATATTACAAACAGCAGAGTTTTTGTACTAACCTGTATTCCTTTTCCTCCTTTTTTTTCTCACCCTCCTCTTTGCTTTTCCTTTTTCTCTTTTAAATATACTATCTTTAAAAATCCATATATTTTACTGGCTGATTGGCAGAACTTTTCCCCTTTTCCCTGTTGGTTTTTGTAATATTTAATCATGCAGTTAGCTAACATCCTAACATTTTTGACATTTGAAAAATAGAATTTAGAGATTTTATTTTTAATATTATTTATTTTAAATTTTATTATTGTTTTTTTTTAAAAAAAACACTGCATTTTTCTCATTTTGGGACGCAGTAGCTTGTCTTTTGATGCAATCCAGATGCAGCATGCTTGGATAAACTAACATGCCATTTTTCTTGATTATTGGTTTTAAAACTAGTTAACAGCAGTCTGGAATATTAAAGGACTTGGTTTCCAGCAAAGCATAAACATGTATTGACCAAATTTAAGCAAAAGGGTAGGAAAAGAACTGGATTTGGTTTTCTGCAGTATCCCTAGTTCCCCTTTAATGGAATGCTTGGATAGAAAAAGTTTACATAAGTGACAATTCTAAACATTTAAGAAATGTTGTCATTTTAGTTAACATTTCATTAACATTTTCTAAATTAACTGTTGAAAAAGTATCAGAAAGATAAGTCATTTTTAAATACTTATTGCCATACATCAAGATTTAGAAATTCTGAATTTCTATGGTCCAACCACAAACACATAATTGTTTTGAATATATATAAACTAAATCAGCAGATCACATAATAGATGGAAGTGCTTCAAATCAAACTTTTACTCTTTCTTAACATTTCACTACCTAAATTATATTCTCAGGTTCATAATATTTTGCAAGACTACATCTCTGAATTTAGCTGAATGAATAATTTGTGTTGTATTAATCTTCCCCAAAGGGAGTATACTTTCCTTTCTTCCATAGAAATAAATTCTCTTTGGTTAGATTATTTCCTAATAGTTTATTCTTCTGTATCTAAAATTAAAGCATGTGATTCTACTACAATTTCAATCCAAGCTCTTGTGATCCTTACTATTTTATCTAGTTTGAAAAGTACATTCATTCTACATAGTCCTTGAATGTATCTTTGCTGAACAATAGAGACTGCTAAACAGATGGAACAGGAAAAGGCAATTTTTTTTATCAACAGTGATTCAGTTACATCATTGTCTTTGATATAGAACATCTCCAAAGTATTTATCTGAGGTTGAATGATCACATATGCCGCTTATAAAATAAAGCAACAAGCTTAAAGAGTAAAGTTATTGAATTATTAGTTCATTATCCTACCCATTTCCTGACCAATATCTTATAGTTTAGTCTCTGTTAAATATGAACGTAATACTGTGTTATGCTTCCAAAGTAGAATTTTATTATACTGCATCAAGCAAAGCAGAAATATGGAAAAAGAGAAATAAATGTAATGTATTCTTCAGGCAAAAATAAATTAAACAATGTAATATTGTACCATTTATTGGAGATGCAAATAATGTGCAGATTCCCATTCCTCAGCAATAGATGGCAAAATGGTTTGCTTTTAACAAAAAGTAAAATTATCACAAGGACCAATCTCACTTTACTTTCTTACTTCAAGAAATGGTCACTCCAGTCAAATCTATGAAATTGGAGAAAACTCCTGACCTTTGATGATTTTCTGATTTGATATATTGTATATTGGGCCCTATAATCTCCTATTTTCCTGACTGATTTTTTTTCCAAATAAATTCCTATTTTTTAGTTTTAATGAGGCAAATATTATAATTATTCCTAAACCAACAAGGATATTACCATATATTCTAATTGTCTATCACTTGCCTTATACAATTAGATACTAAGAATTTTAATGCCTATTTGGAACCAGTTTATTCTTCCAAATACTGTGTACCCAGGTCAGGCAGGATTTATTCAGGGTTAGGCTTCTGATTTTTATAATGTTCTTGTTTTAGTTTAAAATAAACAGGATTCAGCAGCCACAGCCCTGAATGTTAAGAAAGCATTTTTTGTATGGTTTCTTTAATGTGTTCTTACTTTTTGGGTGTTTCCTCAAAATGTTTTTATTTGGATTAATATAATTTACTCAGACCCTAAATCATATAATTTACTCAGTTCCTATATAAGGCATTAATGGTGTGCCTGTCCTTTGTGAAATTTATGATGAGGTACATACCAAATTTATGATGAGGTACATACCAAAGATGTCTTGGGTTTTTTTAAAAAACAAAATAGCTTAAGGATGTCTTGTCTAGACAATTAAAACTCTGAAAACATTAATGTGAGTAGATATGAGTGTCAAAAAATAAAATTCCATGTATAGCTCATATGGTAACTTTTACAGATAGACCTATTCCTAATCTCATTTTATTAATACACGACTTTCATATCCTGATTATTCTATAAACAAGAATAAATCAGAATGTATGCCAATAAGACATTTCTCATTTCATTAATATATAAGTTTCACATCCTGCCTGATTATTCTTTAAAATGGAATAAATTTGAATTTATTACCAATAGAGCATAGCAATAATCACAACAAGTATTTGTACAGTATTGTAGTTTTAGGTTGCATTCTGACCACTTTGTTTATCTTGATTAAAGCTTTCAAAGCTTTCATTAAGATACAATTTGGACTTATCCTATTATTGCCATATTTTAGGGTGATAATCCTGTATAGATTGCTATATTAAATATGCATGTGTTGTCTTTCCTTTATAGACATTAGTTGAAATGTAATGATATGAAGAACTGTAAATTTTTCAGATAGCTTAGAAAGTTATCTCTGAATATCTAAAATCTATTCTTGATCTGTAACAATGGATTGTTGATAATGTCAATTGCCAATAATTGAATAAATTTTCAACAAAGGGTCAAGGAAGATTTGAAAGCAATAGTGATACGTTAAATTCTCACATGGCCCCAAGGAAATAGCCTGTTACCAGTAGTTATTGTCCCTCTTGTTGAAAAGGGAATGGTTTCTTGGCCACTATATCGCGTAGACAAGAGAAACACAATAATTTGAATTTTGTATTCACTGCAAACATTGACTACTGGACATTCATGGACAGTTATTGGGCAATCACTGGAATTCTTTTGTAATTTTGTAGCATTATCTTTGCTACTATAACTCTACTTATTAAACATTTGGTGTTCTTGGAAATCTGTTTTTATGGCTTTCTGTCTACTTGAGAATATCCAATATAGCGAAAATTTTATATGGGCTTCATCCCAATTCATCAACCAAGAGTTATAACACTTAGGAAATCTCAGGGCATCATTTTCTGATATTAGGCTTCTGAGTCATTGTGAGTTTTCAGCCTTAATGTCAGAGAATGTCTGAGAAATCTCCTAAGCAAGGCAAATCTTGACACAGTTTCAGTTATCTCTCATGGGGCTGGGGTTAAACAAAGACAATGTTGCTTTTTGCTGAGCCTATAACAATTCTCGAGGCTTTTGTTGCTTCATTGTGTAAGGCACACTCATCATCGTCATCATCTCCTGCCTTTATTTTGTACAACTCGAGGGAGCACACATTATTCTCCAGCCTCTTACTTTCCCCATAACATCAATCTTGTAAGAGTGGGTTGGGCTAACAAAAGAGAAAGAAAAAGTGGCCAAAAGTCCCCAAGCCAGCTTCCACATCTAAGAATGGACTTGAACACACTATTTCCTGATTTCTCATCCAGTACCTTCACAAACACACCAAAATGGAATAGAGCAAATCTAGATCAATATTAGAATAGCACAGTTCAATAGTTGACAGTAAATCATTGTATTTTCACAACATAATAATGACTGGACAATCTTTACAACTCTAGAATACTGCATCCAGTTTTGGTCACCACGATGTAAAAAAGATGCTGAGACTCTAGAAAGAGTACAGAGAAGAGCAACAAAGATGATTAGGGGACTGGAGGCTAAAACATATAAGGAAAAGCTGTTGGAATTGGGTATGTCTAGTAGTTTAATGAAGAGAAGGATGAGGGATGACATTATAACAGTGTTCCAATATCTCAGGGGCTGCCACAAAGAAGAGGGAGTCAAGCTATTCTCCAAAGCACCTGAAGGCAGGAGAAGAAGCAATGGATGGAAACTAATCAAGGAGAGAAGCAACCTAGAACAAAGGAGAAACTTCCTGATAGTTAGAACAATTAACCAGTGGAACAACCTGCCTCCAGAAGCAATGAATGCTCCAACACTGGAAGTTTTTAAAAAGAGACTGGACAGCCATCTGTCCGAAATGGTGTAGGGTTTCCTGCCTGAGCAGGGGGTTGGACTCGATGACCTCCAAGATCCCTTCCAACTTTATTATTATTATTATTATTATTATTGAATTCAATGGTTTAATTATTTTTGTAGAACCAAAAAGTATAACGTATAGGAGGGAATCCAGCAGGTTGACAGAGAAGACCAATTAAAAACCCTATTACATAATGGGAAATGTGCTTCCTTATCACCCATTATACATACTGAAATAGTGTATACCAATAAATATACAAACTGTGAAATATGTATCTATAATTAAACTCTGAAAACAAATATAAGAATATTCCTGCTTTTCTTTGGTTTTCAAGTATACAAATCTTGTTTTTATGCAACCAACTCTTTGGTATGAAATGTACAGTTGCTGGGGTTTTTCTAATATCTTCTCCATTTATCATATTTTTGGAAACATTCAGAAAAATCCATTAAAAATAAAGAACACCCAAATGTACAGCAGAATTACATACATATGGATGCTTTTCCAACAAGTTGTTGTCTCTTCTAATTCCTAAACTTCACCTATCTACTTTCATCTCAAAGATTAAGTGCCTTAGGCAATTTTCTGGGCAGAAAAATGAGATAGATAAAAGCAAGGGACAAAGAAAAAGAAAACACACTTACCAGTTCATGATTGCCAGCAGGCATGCAAGGTGTGGCAGCCTAAAAGAGCAAGACACAAAGGAGACCCAATATTAGCAGTCGTAACACAGAAAAAGCAAAATAACACACATTTCACTTGAACACTGGATGTACTTCCCCTTTACCATCTAACAAAAGTCACATTTATACACTTACTTACTTGCTTGCTTGCTTGCTTGATTTTTATCCTACCTTTAATAAGTAACTCAAGGGGGCAAACATACATAATTCTTCTTTCTCTTTATTTCCCCCATAATAACAATCTTGTGAGGTAGATTGGGTTGAGAGGGAGTGACTGGTCCAAGTCATCCAGTTGGCTTTTATACCAATGGTGGGACTAGAACTCTCATTGTCTCCGGGCTTCTACACCTGGCTCACCACTACACCAAACTGGCTCAAACACTGATGCACCAAAATAAATCAAGTACACCAAACATTGATGCTGAGTTCTTTTATTTGTATGTGGAAATTATTCAGTCTCTGTAAAGTAACTGAACTTTCAGCCAGATTTTAGAATAGTTGTTTGGGAAAGGATCCAAAATGTAGAAAGATTGGATGATCCTCACTGTAAGAACCCATCAAAATTTGTTTTCTCAAGCAACTGACCAGGATTGAAAATTCTTATCAAAGCTGTTCTCTACAGAGGATTTGCTCACTAGACAACATGAGCTCCCAAGGCGAAAGTCTAGCATTATAAGAAAACATTACTGAGCAAGAGGAGGGATACCACAATTTTAACATTTTGGGGTTTGTTAGTTTTTTTGGTTTTTTACAATTTTAAAGTGCTTGACAATAAAGCAGGACTTTGGCAACTTACAGTTATGGGCTTTGATTAGGCCCTGAACCCCAATTTTTTTCATCCTTTATTGCCAAATTTTACTGGCAGCTTTCAAAAATATCCCAATTTATGGCTGAAAAAATAGTAGTAATTATAATAGTAGTAATAATAGCCCCTGTGTGCTTCATATACCAGGAAAACAGAAGCAAACATAAATTATAAAAAATGCCACTCCTAAAATCAAAATATAATAAAATCCAATGGGAAATTGCAACCTATTTGGGGAAAACAACTCTGTCAGTCTCTTGCCTATCATGTCTTTTAGTTGCCCACAAAAAAAGAGTTGTGTCTAGTTATCAAAACCTATTATTATTATATTTATATCCTATGGAATTCAACAGGGCTTACATTCAGACTTCCCTTCTTTTTATTTTCAGAATGTGAAGAAAATGAAAGAGAGAGTGTGATGGATCCAAAATAATTCAGTGAAATCTATGATGATTTGTGGAGATACACTAAATCAGGTACATCCTAACTTTTTAGTTAGCCGCAAAGAGATGGAAAAGTTCAGTGGACATTTTTGTACAAGTCCTGATAGCTCTAACTTGGTATTAAACTATAACATTGATCTGGTTCAGCTTTGCATTATATCCTGTTGAATACTAACATGCCTTGTTCATGAGATTATTATTTCACATTATAAAAAATGTTGTTTCAGATCAATGTTCAAAAAACATCTTTTTTATATGGGTTTGTTTCACAGTGCTGCTCTAAAGTAACAGACAAACTGCTACATCTTCCAGCCATGACTACTTCTTAAGATACAGTAAAGAACATAAAGACTAATTCTTAAGATAAAGAAAAATATAGAAAAATAACAGTGGTGTGAAGGTCCAGAATTCTACTAGAACAGTGGTGGCGAACCTATGGCATGCATGCCAGAGGTGGCACTTGGAGCCCTCTCTGTGGGCACACGTGCCGTTGCCCCAGCCTTGCCTCTCCCCGTGACCCCCTCACCAGTAGCCCCCCTGGAGGAGAGTTGCCCCCCGAGCATGGCCCATGTGGAGCAGTGCAGCCAAGGACATGGCAGCCAGGCAGCGTAGACAAGTCTCTGCCCTCATGCCCCATCGTGCACAGTTGATGCTGCGGGGCGTGGGCAGAGGGCATGGCTGCCATGGCGCTGCTGGGCGATCTGTGGCAGGCCCTGGAGGCGGTGAGTGGCCCTGTGGGCAGACGGGGCAGGGGTGGGGCAGAGGCAGGGGGTGGAGTGGAGGCAGGGCCAGTTTTTGGGTACTCAGTCTCTAAAAGATTCACCATCATTGTACTAGAACATGTGATAGCCAGAGACCTTAAGCACCCTAGATTGTGGAGCATAAGAATGGTTTAAATTTTGATTTGAATTTGTTAAGCCACGTATTCCCTGCATCATCTCAGAGTTGACAAATAACCGTGACATATATATCTATCATGAGCAAATAATCAAATATGTTATTAGCATTAATATTTAAATATTGAGATTTCTTCACTAGGGTTCTTGATTTTGAAGCAACTAATCATGATTGTTGTTTTCCTCCTGAGCCATAATTAACTCTGAATTTCACGGAATTCTTTGTGAGAAAAAAAAAGTTACATAACATTTTAGAGTTAAAAAATGTTTCCCCATTGCCTTCCTACCACAGGGGTTCTCTAGAAAAGCAAGAAGGCCTCTTCCCCAACATAACTAGTTCATCTGATCCCCAGAGGCCCTTTATGTGGAAAAACTATTTGAGTACTAAAATAAGTAATAATAAAAAAGAAAGCTGGCCTCAACTAAGAGAAATGTCTTATCCACTTAATTGAACCCCCATGTTACAGAATGCTTATAGAACAAAAAGGGATAGGGAGGTGTGTTTTTTTTTTTCCACAAATGCCATGTAAACATCAACTCCAGCCAAACTTCAGTTTCAATCATTTCCAGAAGCAACTACATTTGGCCTTTTGGTCCTTGGGAGATGTTCTTCTATAATGTGCCAGTTCTTTTCTCCCCTCCCTCCCTTTTTTGTACTGGAAACTGCTTACAATATTTACTGTTTACAGAAAGAAAGAGGTTATTGACTTCCAAACAGTAGAGGGCATCAATAGGTTAGCTTGCGAGAGCACATGAAATCTAACTGCTCTTGCATCTTCATTAATAGATGCAGGTTTATTTGCCAGATTAGGTATGCCGGGCTATATGGTCAGACAGCCATGTATCTTTTGAACATGACTGAAGGCAACACAACAGCAAAGACATGATATCTACTTCCATCACCCCATTTCACAGTACAGTGTGTCCTGCCACTGTAATGCCTTGTGTCAGTGGTTCTCAGCCTGCAGTCTGCGGACCCCTGGGGGCCCACGATATCATCCCAGGGGGTCCACGAAGGCTGAAAGAAATGTTATGATTTAAATCTTAAGTCTTGGGGGTCTGTGACTATGGTCCGTGGCCAAAAAGGTATTTCTGTCCTCACTCATTCATTACCCAGAAAGGTATTCTTAGAGCCTTTCCACGTTTACATCTAATTTTGGTATAAACCTGTCTCAACTTTTTGTATTTTCTCTTTTCTCTTGTATCCTCTTCTTTGTATTGGCAGTCAAGAAATACAAAAGTGAAGTGATCTGTTTAGGGCAGAGCTCCCCAACCTTTTTGGTTCTGGGGACGGGCAGGGGGCAGAAGAGGATGGTTCTGCGGGCACAATGAGCAAGTACACAGCATTTGCGCAAGTAGTGGGCACACACGACCACCGGTCACTCAAATGAAATACACGCACATGCTCATCTGCTACTTCCGCGGCCCGGTTCCAAAAGGCTCAAGGCCCAATAGTGAGCCATAGCCCGGAGGTGGGGGACCCCTGGTTTAGGAGTTGGACAAGCCACTTCTGTGTATGCAGGGCCAACAGAGATTTCCATGATGTGGCTACAATGGCAGTCAGGTAAAATTCTGATAAACTGATGTTTTGTAACTGGCTAGGTCACACCAGGCAGCTGTTTTGTGAACAGGCAAGCTCCCAAAACAACCAATTTGTGAGAGCATTAACAACACATATTCAAAATTCCAAATGTCCCCTTCCCAAAACACTTGAGGACCTTTGATGCAATAGTAATGACCAGATTTTGACACAGGGAATAAACAAATTGTTGACAACAATCTGCCAATGCCACATGCGTGTGTCGTTAGGGGACTCAGCTGCCAGTAATGAATTATGACAAATGAAGTACTTTTAAATGCTGTTCTTAAATCTTAAGTGGTTTTTAAGATGCATTACAGTACTGAAGATCTGTGAGCGAAGCTCGGTTTTGGGTGGTATACTGGGGAGAGTGTCAGCAGTACAAAGACAGAGCCCAATTAAACAATATAACATAGCTCTTTTATCCACAACTTTACTTCCACAAACAACCCCAGACTTCCCACATCACAGAGTATAGAACATGGTTTCGTTTAGTATGCCAAACTGTATAACATCACATCTCAGAAAAATAAGAAGCACTCCACAGGGCTATATAAGTGAAGACATGCATTTTCTGCCCATAAGAAGCTTACAGAGTTGGAAGGCAGTGACAGTTCATTTTAGGACATAAAAGAGATGCTTGGGCTATAAATGGGCAAATGTGTTTGCCATATACGTAAGGGAGACTGAAGCTGATACCAGGAGAGAATGAGCTTGTCAGCTGAAGATGGAAGAGGGAGAGATGCTTACATTTCTTTGCTTGGTCATAATTTTGCAGCCCTATCAGGAAACAAGCTGGAGCTGGGATATCCCTCAACAAGTGATAGTTCCAAGCAAGTGTGAGCATGTTGCCTCGTACAATGTTCTTGTTGTTTGCTGAGCTATGCCGGGAGAGAAACCCCTCCCCCTTCCCTATGATGGAGTTATATCTCTAAAAACAAAACAAAAGGGCATCGCCAGACAGCCACATGAAAGTACAGTCTAGCAGTCCTTGAGCCAAAAGAAAAGAATGCCAGCAATTTTGCTGCCCCAGCAAGCCCTTGTCTCGGGTAACAAACTTAGTGAACAGTGTTGTCCTTATGATGTTAAATCAGTAACATAACCAAAAGAACTTGGTTCTTTTTCAATTGTCTGTACAGTACACCACTAGTCCTGTGTTTGAAACACAGGTTTAGCATTCTTCCGAGGGCACGAAATCCACATTTAAAAGAAACAGGTCTACCATCCTTTCAGAATACAGTAATGTTAAAACTGTATACAGGTAATCCTCATTTAGT